ACCCCTCTGCCATGAGCAGGGACACCTCCCACTAGATCAGGCTGCCCAGAGCCTCCTCCAGCCTGGCCTTAAAGACCCCCAGGGATGGGGCCTCAACCCCCTCCCTGGGCAACCCCTTCCAGGGTCTCACCACTCTCATGGGGAAGAACTTCTCCCTCATGTCCAGATAGAATCATAGAATCCTTCCCCCTCCAATGACCTGCTCAAAGGTCATTCTCTTTGACAGCTTTACTGACTCCCCACCAAATCCACATCTGGATTCCACCAGGGAAAACTCTAAAACCAGTGAAACTCAAGTTTGATGCCAAAACAGTCAGGAGAACACGTGGGGTGAGAATCCTCCTGCACTAAGGGAGCTCCCAGCAGCCTGAAGCTTCTGCAGCATCTCCACCACCAAAGAGGACTCCCTGCAACTCTGGAGGGAGAGGGGAAACCTCCTGCAAGGACCAGATGATGACAGTGTGGCCCCACCACCACTTCTGAAGGTACCTGGGGACCACTCACAACACTTGTTTTCCCTCCCACAGTCAGATGTGCCTCAACCAGAGGAGGACAATGCTACTGACCCAACCACACCACGCTGCACGACCACCAGCAAGAGCAAACCAGCTTCTCCAGGTCACCTCTGCAAGCCACCTTCATGTGTCTGGAGGCACACCAGCCTTAGGTTGGACTAGATGACTTCTAAAGATCTCTTCCAACCCAAACCATCCCATGATTCTAGGAAAACAAAGTCTCCAGTCCCTCCTCAACTCAGGGTAGGTAGAAGAAACATCTACTGCTCATTTTGGGGCAAACCATGAAGGAACCTTAACGCTTGATGGTGGGGAAACCTTTGAACTGAAGACTTCCCTACTGCCCAGCACCTTCTAATGGCAGCTCAGCACCAACTCAGGGCAGAGTGATGCCAAGAACTGACTGCTGGGCACCCCAGGGAAGTTTTTCTTCCAGCAGTGAGTAAAATCTCTTGCTTGAGAGACAAAAATCTCTCTGGAGCCCCATCTGCATCTTCAGGAGATGCACGTGAAGATCATTAATGATTGTCCCATAATTTGGCTGCAGACCCAACCTACTGCCCTGCAGGAACCTGCCTTCAAGCAATGCCCAAACACACCTCAAGTCCTTTCTTCTGAAGAGAGATGGACATTTAGGGGTTAAGTGGCATCTTCATCAGGCTGGGAGGGAAGAGAAGGGATGAAGGAGTTTTAAAATCAGTGCCACAGGAAAAAAAAAACCTCTTCCTGTCGCTGAGGTTAATGGCCAAAAAAAGCCATGAGCTTCAAAAGCCAAATATTTCACGTTCTGCTTCTCTCTTCCCAGCAGAGCAGCATTTCACAACCACCTCACTCTGCCATCACTCAAGAGCCTCAAGCAAAGACAACCTCAGGGCCAGGCTGTGCCCTCCAGGCCACCAAGCTGCCCCAACAGGGCCCAAATTGTGCCCCTGGAGCTGCAGAGTCACCAGATCACACAACCAACGACTGGTTTGGGTTGGAAGGGACCTTAAAAATCATCTCATTCCACCCCCCCTGCCATGGGCAGGGACATCTCCCACTAGACCACGTTTCTCCCACTAGACCACGTTGCTCCAAGCCCCCTCCAACCTGGTCTAGAACACATAAAGCCCTTTTTTTTGGGCTTTTTTTTGGAGAAAATGAGGCTTTTTGTAGAGTTTACCCCTTTCCACAGCACTTAGAGCAGTCCTGGAAGAAAATTTGGGTGTGAATTGGAGCACCCTTTCAAAATGAAGTTGGTATTAATGATTCTTGGAGGGGGAAACGAGGCTCATTCTCCCCCCAAAAATTGATTAGCAGACACAGGAATAATAACCATTGATTAATGCCAAGGATTATTTACCACCCTGCCTTTTCTTTTCTGCTCTAATTAAAGCTTCTGGTGCTTTCTTCTCAAAACACCAAACCCCACTCTAGCTCATTTGCTTCCACACCACTCTGCTGGGCTGTCTCCTCATCTCCTGGCAAGGTCAACACACTCAACCTTGACCATGACCTCAGACCCACCCCTTCCACGCAGAATGAGAGAGTCATTAAGAGGAGCCATGTTATTTTGCAGTGCTATTTTGGGCATGAAGACAAATGAAAGGGGTCAGGGTCGGGTCGTGACCACAGAAGCTGAAGTCAACCAAGAGGAACCATCAGAACCTCCCCGTTGACAACCACGGCGGCGAGTCCTCCTCCCACCCTCACCCCATCACCCCACACGAGTGGAATTTGTGTTGCTGGAGGTTCAATTTGGCCCTGGGGTGGCCGTGGTCCCTCTGCCCCCCTCCCCAAAGCTGGTGGTGATGGAGACTTGGCTGATCTCCCCCCTGGGAGCAGGAGGCCACGTGGGCTGCCACGAAGATTCGGCGCCGTCTCCAGATTGAAGACCCCAAACTGATGCTTCTGACAAGCTTGAAATCAGGAAATGAGGAGAAAGAGGCGTGAAGGGTTGGTTAATTTGGAAGGCTGGAGCTCTTCTTCTCTGCCCCCACTTGTTCCTTTGCCACTTTTCGACGAGTGGAACATGAAATGAATTGCTTTTGATTTTCTCCTCCTAAGCCTATTAGGATTTAACTCTGGAAAGTCAAAGCCATTTTTTCCCTGCTGGAGTCCCCCCCTCCCCGGCGTGAGGCTGAGCTCCAGCTGTCCACCCTCCTGAAGGCTCAATGAGATGAGTCCTAAATGTTCTCAGCATCATCTCCCAGGTTGGAACCACATTACTCCCCCAGTCAAAGTTGTTTTATGGCTTCCTGAAGTCAAGGAAGAGGTCAGGGATGAACACGAGGAGGTTTGAGAGGACTCAGCTTTGAGATGGAGAAGTTCTCAGCAGCTCCCCAGAAGTGAGATACGGGGTGCTGCCCAAAATGCTTTCCCACCACCCCTGGGGGCAAGTTCAGCCAGGGGCTCACCCTCAGCATCACAAATTTCTTCCTTCTCTCCAGTCTAAATCTCCCTCTTTTAGTTCCAAACCATTTGGAGTCAGGACAAACACAACGGGTTGAAGGGACAACCCCAGATCATCACCACCACTCTGGACCCAGCAGGCTGCAGTAGAGGGACCTGCTCCAATGAGCTACACGTTACTCAGGCTACATGTGACAGGAATTTGTGCTGCTGGAGAACCCTCCTGCTAAGGAAAGGCAAAGCAGCACCCCAAGACTCAGGAACCTCCCCAACGTCCTTCCATGCTGGGTGAACAGTTGGACCTGATGATCTTCAAGACCTTTTCCAACCTAAACCATTCTATGACTCTGGATTAGAGCCTCAGGTAAAGAACAAAGAGGTGACAACGTGTCCCAACTCAAGAAACTTGGGAGAACTTGTTAAATTTGAGAGACCTGGTCTATCAAACCCAATTCCAGTGGTCAGAGGAAGGACCCTGGTGCCCACAAGGGGCACTCATGGGCAGGACACTCTCCCCGTGTCCCACCTCTCTGGGTTCACTTCCAAGAGCTAAAAGCTCTTTCAGGGCCTTTGCCCAGTCTTGGCAACTACTGTGCTACCTGCTGGAAATAAAACCAGGAAGAGATGAAGCTTCTCACATGCCTGGATTATCTCCCAAACCTTGAGCAGAACAGCCTTGTGGGTGCCCACCATGCCCATGCCAACATCAAGCAGGTTTTGGCCACGTTACTGCCTAAGAGAAGCACAAGAACAACATCTTCAGAAGTTCAGAAGGACAACAGACTTTTGTTTTCACTCTGAAATGATGTCTTTGAATTTTTTATGCTCTTCATTAGGGCTTGAATCTGATCTCCAGTCCACCTCCAAGGAGCCCTGCTCTCCAGTTGCTCATTTGGGCAGTGAGATTAGCCCGGCTTAGTTCAGCTCTTTCTTCTTGGTTGGAAGGAGGCTGTTGGGTGAGAGAGGAAACCTCAATTTGCATATTAATGAGAGCATTAAGCCGATTGAGGCCATTCATGCCAACGTCCATCTCCAATTAGCTGGAGAATTTCCATCCTCAGTTGGAGGAGTCAAATAGTCCCATCAAGGAAAGAGCACTTGGTTGAGGCAAGGAGTCAAAAGGACAGAGAACTTGGTGGGAAGCACATGCAGGACTTCCTAAACCCTCCTCACCTAACTGACCTGGACCTGGCACTGGTAGAAGTGGGGGCACACACTACAGAAGAGCAGCAGGAGGTCTGCTGGGCTTCCAGGATCTGAAGGGGGCCTACAAGAAACCTGGGGAGGGACTTTTAGAAGGGTTTGTAGTGATGGAACGAGGGGTGATGGGTTGTTGGCATCATTGACCCAACCACAACCAATCCTTCCATGGTGAGGAAGAAGTTGAGCCTTTCCAAGAGATGTTTCCTACTCCCTCTTATGCTGTTAGGCTCAGAAATTAGGAACAAATTTGTTGAGACCACCAATTTCTTATCCTGTCTTCTAATCCATCTCATCTTCCAACTAGAGTGGAAGAAAAACTGTGGGGACTTCTCCAGCAGGAGAAGATGGGGAGAAAATCTGGCAGATGGAGAAATATCCAAGTGAAAATGGTTTCAGCAGAAGGGATGCCCACCACCTCTAGCTTAGGCTCCATCACCCACGACTCATTTGTCACAGAGCAAGGTGGTCCCAACCTCCACGTGATGCCACCAGAGGTAGAAACAGTAAATAAGGAGAGCCTATGACTCGTGTGAAGAAATCTTACAGCAGCAGATGAAATGATATGGGCTGAACAAACAAAGTTCTCCACAGCTTCAGCTCAAGACACCCAGAGAAGGTTCCACTGGTCACTAGTCACACGTGGGACCACCAGTTCATTTTGCTGGTAATAAATTCCATTATTGGAGTAATTTCTTTTCCAAACATCTTTGTCTAACAGGTTTTACAACAAACCTAATGAGTTAATTGACAAAGTGAGAAGCTGCTTCCACCCCTCTGCTCACTCCATGGCAACAGTCACTTCTGATTTCTACCTGTGCCCAAAACCAAGGGCTAAAGGTGCAACCACAGGCAGCTCCCAGAGATTTCTTCTTGAAGAATATATCTGCAGACCTTGAAAAGTTTCCAGATGAAACTTGAGGTGGAAATCTGCTGGTCTGGGGGTGGAAATCCATCAATCTGGAGTAGAAATCTACTGGTTTGGGGTGGAAATGCACCAATTTGGAGTAGAAATCTACTGGTTTGGGGTGGAAATCCATCAATTTGGGGTAGAAATCTACTGGTTTGGGGTGGAAATCCACCAGTTTGGGGTAGAAATCTATTGGTTTGGGGTGGAAATCCATCAATTTGGGGTAGAAATCTACTGGTTTGGGGTGGAAATCCACCAAATTGGGGTAGAAATCTACTGGTTTGGGGTGGAAATCTACTGGTTTGGAGTAGAAATCCACCAATTTGGGGTGGAAATGCACCAATTTGGAATAGAAATCTATTGGTTTGGGGTGGAAATGCACCAAATTGGGGTAGAAATCTACTGGTTTGGGGTGGAAATGCACCAATTTGGAGTAGAAATGCACCAATTTGAGGTAGAAATCTACTGGTTTGGGGTTTAAATCCACCAATTTGGAACAGAAATCTATTGGTTTGGGGTGGAAATGCACCGATTTGGAGTAGAAATCTACTGGTTTGGGGTGGAAATCCATCGATTTGGAGTAGAAATCTACTGGTTCAGGGTGGAAGTGCACCAAATTGGAGTAGAAATCTACCGGTTTGTGGTGGAAATCCACCAATTTGGAGTAGAAATCTATTGATTTGGGGTGGAAATC